TTCTACAAAAATTTCTTAAATCAGTTTCCAGCTGCTCGTATATTTATTTCTTCATGAAAATTTACAGCAAAAGCAAAGTGCTTTGTATAAAAATTACTTGTTTAATAAAAAGTTCTATAAACACAAGATGCCCTCAATTTTCAAAAGAAATAAAAAATTGTAAAAAAGAGTTTTACTAAAAATAAATTAATTGATTCTATGGAATTTTTACACTTTTATGTTAATTTTCCTCGATTTCTAGTCTCTGGTTTTCGATAGAAATGGTGATTTTTCACGATTGCCAAACTTTTTTATTATTTCGAATACTGAAAAAATTAACTGAACTCTTAAGAAAAATTCATATAAAACGACGCTCAAGAAATGGAAAAGAAATTTTCTTCTACAAAAATTTCTTAAATCAGTTTCCAGCTGCTCGTATATTTATTTCTTCGTGAAAATTTACAGCAAAAGCAAAGTGCTTTTTTCAAGCAACAGGAATAATTATAAATATTTCTTATGATTTTTCTTGAGAGCTAGATTCTAAGGTTTATGTATTTGAGGTTATTAGCTTTAGGGGGGGTTTGAACCCCAAAACACACCCCTTGTGTACGCTAATGACCCGCGATTTATAATAGAAAGGTTCAAACATTTTCGAAATTCAGCGTTGTTCAAGGTTCGTAAATTACTCACTAAGGGCCTAATAGAATTTAAAAGCAACTCGTAAATTATGGTGATTTCGTTTCTACCAAAAAATGTCGCCTTTTGATTGCCACTTTCTCCTTTCGTGTTCGATTCTAAATTAAAGGCAAAGGGTGAGAAAATGTTGTGTTCGTTTCTTAAAATCTCACACTCTTGTAACGCAAAAAAGGCACATTCTCTGCCCTTTGAAGCTTTGTCAGGGGAGATGGTTGCCCTGAATATCAGCTGGTTGTTTAAAACGACAATGTTATGAAATGCGTGAGCTATACAAAGACAAGAAGGCAAAAACATGTCCTTTTACAGGGTTGAGTGTAACATCAAACACATTTTGCACTGGGGATGGGCAACATTTTTTGGAATAAACGAAGTCACCATTAGTTTCACTGTTTATTAAAAACAAGTATTTTGAATAAATTCGTAACTGAAGAACTTTAGTTTATATAAAGTTTATAACAAATCTTTAAAGAAACAAACGTGGTAGTTAGGGCCTTTCTGTATTCAAGTAACGATATTTCCTTTTTTTATGCAAATATCCATTTGTATGTATGCATGTACGTATGGACATTTCGTTCTTGAATTCTTTGACTGGTCTTTGCTACATTTCACCTCCCACCACCTGCTTTGCAATGAAGTCTGTCGACTGTTATTGCTCGTTTAATGGGCCTGCTTAATGTTATATTGAAGCAGACTAAAGCCATTGCTATTGCTAAGGGTGGGCGAAGGCCAATTCCTAACCATTTTTAGCAACAATGTATCGACAATGTCACATTGTGGTGGCGAGGAGTGGTTGCATGACCGGGACTTTTCTTAAGTACATACATACATATGTACAAACTAGAGGTATACGCCGCCGAGCCACGCCGCCGAGCCACGCCGCCGCCGCCGCCGTTTTTTGTCATTCCTCACGCGCCGCCGCCGAGTTACGAAAATACCGGCGCGGCGGCAGCGGCGGCGGCGTTCGGCGCCTAAGGAATTTTGTACAAAATTTTCATGATGTATGTACATTGAATACATCGTTTGAAGGAACTAAATACTATTTGTATAAAAACACAATTTTACGAAATGAAAATTACATTTTTAAATTAGTTTTTTTTGCATAATTTGGGTCATTAGACAAGAATATGATCTTCTTTGTTTTTCCAAAAAGAGCGTAACCCAGAAAAAACATAGGTAACATATTTTTCGACGAAAGCGTTTATTACATTTAAATTAGGGTCGAATACTGGTGATCTAACGATTTTTTTCCGCAGTAGACAATTCTTTTCAATACTACAACAATACTACTTTTTATACACCTACTACACAACAAGAAAGTTATAACACAACAAAAACTTTAACGCCAATCTCTCAGAAAGCAGTTTTAATAGAAGCGGCCTCTTTGCATCTAACTCCTCAATTAGTGGAGATATAATAAGGACAAGTTGATTTTTCTATGTATTTTTATACCTTTCATGAGCATGAAATGGTATTATAACTTTGGTCCGATGTTTGTAAGTACCAGAATAAAAAGAGATAGACCCATTAAAATGTATACTTATATGATCAGAACGTCGAGCTGAGTCGATTTAGCCATGTCCGTCTGTCTGTCTGTTCGTCTGTTTGTATGCAATCTAGTCTCTTAGTTTTCGAGATATGCGGATAAAATTTGGTGGTTGGGCGTATTTTTATAATGTATTAATCATTTGTCGGAACCGAAAGAATCGGAACACTATAACATATAGCTCCCATACAACTGATTGTTCAGATATGAGATTTTTCGTTATAACTTCTCCATTTATGCGGCTAGGAACATGAAATTTTGCATTACTTGCACCCATTATCAACAGAATACTTACAGTGAAAATTACAAAGATCGGGTCACTATAACCTATAGCTCCCATACAACTGATTGTTCAGATATAAAATTTTTCGTTATAATAATAATAATAGATTGGCGCTTACACATATGTTAGTGTTTGGCCGAGCTTCTCCTCCAACTTGTGGCGTGCGCCTTGATATTGTCACACAAAGCGGAGGGACCTACAGTTTTACGCCGACTCCGAACGGCGATTGTATTTTTATGAGAAGCTGTTTTTCATGGCAGAAATACACTCGGAGGTTTGCCATTGCCTGCCGAGGGACGACCGCTGTTAAGAAAAACCTTTTTCTAAATTTTTTGCGATGTTGCTTTGACCAGGGCTTGAACCCAGGTGCTGGTGAGTGAAAGCGCGCACTGCTTACCACTACACCACAGCGGCCGATTTTTCGTTATAACTCCTCCATTTATATAGCTAGGAACATGAAACTCCGCACTGTTTTCAATAATTATCAACAGAAAACTTACAGTGAAAATTAAAAAGATGGGGTAACTATAACCTATAGCTCCCATACAAGTGATTGTTCAGATATGAGATTTTTCGTTATAACTCCTCCATTTATATAGCTAGGACCATGAAATTTTGCGCTATTTCCACTCATTATCAACAGAGAAAATAACAAAGATCGGGTAACTATAACCTGCAGCCCCCATACAACTGATTGTTCAGATATGAGGTCTTTTATCATAACTCCTCCATTTATGCAGCTAGGAACATGAAATTTCGCACCATTTTCACTCATTATTAACAGAATACTTACAGTGAAAATAACAAGGATCGGGTGACTATAACATATATGTATCTTCCATACATCTGATTGTTCAGATATGGGAAAATCGTCAAAATCTATGCTGTATAAGCTTTATCTCCTATACCACTGATTGTTCAGATACCAGTTTTTGCGATATATCTTCTTTATGTAGGAAACTAAACCCAATAAATTGTGTTACCGGTTTACATACCGATCACATAGCAGTGAAAATCACTTAGATTGGTGCTAATATAAGGTATATCTTCAATACCTCTGATTGTTCAGATGCGATTTTTTATATAGGTATGTAACTCCTCTATCGATGTATGCAGATGTATTCAAAAGCAGTAATCTGTCAAAGTAAAATTTGTAGATGTTCATGAAAGGTATGAAGCCTTCGGCATAGCCGAAGACAGCGCTGCTCTTACTTGTTTTTCATTACATTCGGTTCTCGTTAGAAAAATTTGGCGCTTCATATTTTAGTGGAAATGTTAACCATCTATTGTAGAGAGAGAATAAAGAACACGACGGTTTGAGGTTTATGAGTGGACTGACCGTTTAATGTATCAAGAATATGCTTATAAGTATTACAATTATGCGAAGCTGGTAAATAAAGTATAATAAGCTTATGAGTGCATTTTATATGCACATATACAAATACAAATACATATTTAAATACATAAGTATTTTCAACACCCTCACTTATTGTTTACAAAATTATTATTCATATTTAAAATAAAAATTTTTTTTACAATATTTTTGATGTTTTTTTTTAATGTAATTTGAAGTTAATTTTATACTACAGTTTTTTTTTGGGTTTTAGCAAGATTTTGTTTTACAGTGTATTATACTTTTTGAGTTTGATACTGTCTTTTAACTTTACGATAATGTAATCGATATAAAAAGTATAGAAATTCTATTATTTTTAGAATGCAAATAATCCCTAACATAATCAAGATTTCTTGGTTGTGTATTGGAACAGGTTCACTAATATTGATATTGTTCTGTACTTCTCCATTGTTGTTGGATTTCTGCTGCTCCGATGAAAACCAGCCTCCCATGTTGTATAATATTGGATAACTGTGAGTAAAACAATAATTATTATAAATGTTAATTATTGTCTTATTTTATTATGAGCTTAAGCCCATTTGTTCAGCGCAAAATTTTGTTTTTTCTCTGCTGACTGCTTTTGTTAACGAATCAGCTGCCATTTGTTGAGTGCCAAGAAACTCCAATTTGATTGAACCTTCATCGATTTTTTCACGTATATGGTGATATCTGATATCAATGTGTTTCGTCCTTGGTCTGTATGCTTCGCTCGAGCCTAATTTGATAGTACTTTGGTTGTCACAAAAAACTTTAGTAGTTTCAACCAAGTTTTTATCAACTTCTTTGGCTAACATTTTCATCCATATTATTTCTCGTACTGTTGAAGACAATGCGATGTATTCTGCTTCTGTGCTTGATAAAGCAACTATTGGTTGCCGTTTGCTGCACCAACTTATAGCAGCATTGGACATTTTTAATACATAGCCGGAACACGATCTTCTGCCGTCGATTTCTGCTGCCCAATCAGCGTCACTAAATGCTGCCAAGTTGACATCATCAGTTTTTCGATAGCTTAGTTTGAAATCAATTGTGCCTTTTAAATATCGAAATATTCTTTTCACAGCTTGCCAATGCTCATTTGAGTGTTTTAAGTTAAACCGGCTTACATTATTTACTGCAAATGCTATATCCGGTCTAGTTCCTTGTGTTAAATATAAAAGGCTGCCCACAGCTTCTTGGTATGGTATTTTCCCCGTCAGATCATTTTTCTCAGTGATGCATTTTTCAGTCAATTTTTGACTTACTTCACATGGTGTGCCCACTGGCTTACAATCCTGCATACCAAAACGTTCAAGAATTTCATTTATATATGACGATTGATCTAGTGTAATTTCGTCGCAATTTTTGCTCTGCGTGATACGTATTCCAAGACAACTTTGAGCAGATCCCAAATCTTTCATTTTGAATTTTTTGTTAAGGTTATTACTACCTTTGTAGAGTATAAGGAAATCATCGACGTATATTGCAATTATCAGATTCAATTCTTTATCATAGTAAATGCATGGATCAGTTTTACACCTTTGTAACCCGAATTCTTTTAATGCTGAATCGAGCTTTAAGTTCCACTGTCTTCCGGCTTGTTTCAGTCCGTAAACAGCTTTGTTTAGCTTACATACCTTGTTAGTGCCATCATTGTAACCTTCTGGTTGTTCCATGTATATTGTTTCTTTAAGATCACCTTGAAGAAACGCAGTCACTACATCCATTTGATGGATTTTATAGCCGTTTTTTACTGCTAAAGCCACTAAAAACCTTATTGATGTGTATCTAACCACCGGCGAGAATGTTTCATCATAATCGATGCCGTATTTTTGTGCACAGCCTTTTGCAACAAGTCGTGCTTTATATTTTACAGCTTTACCGACCTCATCTTGTTTTACTTTAAAGACCCATTTTGCTTTTATAGGCTTTCTTCCATCTGGTAGTTTCATCAACGACCAGGTGTTATTTGATCTATGTGATTCCATTTCTTCATTCATTGCATCTTCCCATTCTTTCGCTTTTTCACCGTTTATAGCTTCTGATACTGTTAATGGCTGTGAAAGAAATGCAAAAGCATTAAATTGAAAAGATGGTACAGATACCTTAGCTTTAGATCGTGTGACTCTTCTTTCTTCTTCAGATTCATCAATACTTTGTTCAGGAACATAATCTGGATCATTTTGGGTTTGATTCGGTGATTCTATCATGGTGTCATCTTCCGCAACACTTTGTACGTCTTCGTTCGATTCATCAGGTTTTATGCTAACTTCTTCAAATGTGTCTTCATCGCTTCTCTTTATTTCCCTCACTTCGTCGTTATAGATTTTTAAGGTCGACTTTGGTTGAGGTTTTTCGTAGAATATTACATCTCGACTTATAACCAGTTTCTTTGTTATTGGATCAATACAGCGAAAACCTTTGATGTCGTCATCATAGCCCACGAAAAACATTTTCTTGGATTTAGGATCCCATTTTTTACGTTTTTCTTTGTTTATGTGAACCATTGCTTCACAACCAAACAATTTCAGGTTAGATATGTCTATTTTTTTTTTATAGAATATTTCATCAGGAATTTTTCCATGCGACGAACAAATACTTTTGTTGATTAAGTAGGCTGCCATATTTGTTGCTTCTGCCCAATAACATTTTTGAAGATTTGCATCAAACAGGAGACATTTAGCTTTTTCAATTAAGCTTCGGTTCATTCTTTCGGCAATTCCATTCTGCTGAGGAGTATATGCATTACTTAATTGATGCTTGATACCATTCTCTTTACAGTATTTGTCGAATTCAGTTGAACAATATTCACCACCATTGTCCGTCCGTATTGTTTTGATTTTAGATCCAGTTTGGCGTTCAATGTATGTTTTGAAATTTTTAAAGTTATTGAAAACTTCTGATTTTGACTTGAGAAAGTAAACGAATAATTTTCGGGAGAAATCATCTATGAATGTTAATACATATTTGGCGTGTCCTATAGATTGCGTTTCCATAGGTCCACATAGATCAGAATGTATTAGTTCGAGTAGCTTTGTTGTTTTTGAGTTACTTTGTTTAAACGGAATTCTTGTTTGTTTGCCTTTGGGACATATCTGACAATTTTTTATTTCATGATCGTCGTCATTGAAATCAATACCAGAAACAGCGCCGTCACGCATTTTCTTTAAACTTTGAAAATTTATGTGTCCAAGTCGCCTGTGCCATAGCATTGCGTTGTTATTTGTTTGTTTTGATAACAAGCATTTTGCTTGGATTCCCTTCAGTTTGTAAACACCATTTTCCGCTTTGCACTGTACAATTACTTCTTTGTTTTTGTTAAGTATTGTACAGCCTGTTGCATCGAATTTTATTACATTCCCCTGACTCACTATTTTTGCAGCTGACAGAAGGTTTACTGATAAATCGGGCACGTGTAGAATTTCGTTAACTACAATTTCTTGCCCGTTGATATTCAGTGATGTTTTGCCAACGCAACTTACTGTCATAGCTGTTCCATTTGCTGACATTATTTTGTCAACGAGTGAATTTTTTTTGCTAGTGAGCAAATTATCGTTTGGTGTCATATGAGACGATGCACCACTGTCTAGATACCAGTCGTCGTTATTTCTTTTCGTTAATAACGCTGTGAATGCATTTTTTGCTGTGCCATTTTGTGCATTATTTTTCTTGTAGTGACATTCCCCTGCATGTTTCTTTCCACAAGTTGTGCATTTTTTCTTTTGTAAGTATTTTTGCTTATTTTCGTACCTTTTTTTACTAAGAAATGCATCACTTTTTGTGGTTGTGTTGGTATCAGAGTCCAACAGTTTAGCGATTATTGTTTCTGATTTTATTTGTGAGTCTGATGCTTCAATTCCCATTATAAATGGTTTATATGCATCAGTTAAACCAGCCAATACTATCGCCGTCAGCCAATCCTCATTTATCTCAAAACCAATTTCATTTAATTTATTAGAATTATCTTTAATTCTATCAATGTATGATTGCATGTTCTCGCAGTCTTCTAATCTGCAAGAGATCAGGCCTCTTAATAACCCAATTTTTCTTGTTAAGCCTTTGTCCTCATACAGATTTTTTAGTTTCTGCCATATTTCTAGCGCTGTTTCACATCTGGATATGTGAACGTACAGCGATGGCGCTACGCTTAGAGCTAACAGGGCTTTGCAATTAGTTAATTTCTCAGCGTTTGTTTCTGTGACAGGATCGGTTATACACTTATGCAGACCTTTGAATGCTAATATATTTTTTATTGCGAAACACCAGTTGTGGAAATTTTCCTGGCCTTTGAGTTTCTCTACTTCAAAACCCTTTTCCATTTTAACTTATAATTTCACTTATAAATTTTATATATATGTATATGTATATTAATTCAAAGTCTTACTTGAAGCGTTATTTTATTTTTATTATTACAGCAGATTTTGCACTTTTGATTTTTATTTTATTTATTTAATTCCGACACCCGACACTACAGCAGTAACCTTGCTCTGCTACCATGTAGAGAGAGAATAAAGAACACGACGGTTTGAGGTTTATGAGTGGACTGACCGTTTAATGTATCAAGAATATGCTTATAAGTATTACAATTATGCGAAGCTGGTAAATAAAGTATAATAAGCTTATGAGTGCATTTTATATGCACATATACAAATACAAATACATATTTAAATACATAAGTATTTTCAACATCTATAAGCCATTTTTTCCAACAGTGGGTCAAAAAGGCCCATTCTGGTTCGAGTTGATGGGTTAAACTTTTGGAAAAAAAGTAGACCAACCTTGTTTTCAATCTACCTTATGAGCAATAGCGCCGGCGTTTCCAAACGCGCCGGCGTCGCCGCCGCCGCCGAATATTTTAGAAGTTGACCACGCCGCCGCCGCAAAGCCTGTCGGCGTAAACCTCTAGTACAAACAAATGTACAATCATTCGCACTTACCTAGATTATATACATACATATATATGTATATTAGACTGCATCACTCCCCATATAAAAAAATCGGTGCTGTTTTTCCGCTGGAATTATAAAGTCTATTATATTTTAAGACTTCCACCAAAATATCCCGCAAAAATATTAAGATTTACGTGAGCTGGACCGATTTGAAAATACCTTCAAAATTGAGTTTTTTATTAATAAAAACCGTTTTTTAAAATAGTTTTTGAAAAAAATACCTCAGACAGTTTAAGTATAAAAAGTTTGCATAAAATAATTAAAAAAAAAATTTCTACGGAATTATGATATGAGATTTTTGATGCTGTTTTTGAACTTTTTTCAAAGACTGGTTTAAGAAAAATTTGAATGCCTCAGCCAAACCCTTACCAATTTAGACTTATCAGCTATCACTGGTAAGGTATTTTTTCAACCTTATTATTTTTTTGCGAATAGGCTCTTTCAAAGTATGAAAGAGGAAGCTAAGATAAGTGTCATTCCATGTTGAATTAAGATGTGTTGGTATTTGATTAAGAAAATATTGGGACGTGAATGAGGTTTTTTGCAGAGAAATAAAAAGGGTGAATAAATACATTTTCACTGATACCTCATAAGTCTATATCGATAAAGTTTTTGAGCAGTTATTCAAGTTTTTATTACACAAATATTTGAAGAAAGTTAAAAAATAGCATCAAAAATCTCATTATTATGATTCCGTTGATAAAATTTTTTAATATTTTTATGTAGATTTTTTAATTAAAAGATTCAAAAAATCCTTTAAGAAACAATTTTTATTCATGAAACACTCCATTTTTAGAGGCATTTTCAAACCGGTCCAGCTAACTTAAATCTTAATATTTTTCCGAAATATTTTGGTAGAAGTCTTAAAATATACTAGGTTTTGTAATCCCGCCGGAAAAACCGCAACTTTTAGTGATGCAGTCTAATGTATATTTGTGTACGTAAACAGTGTTGCCACGGACACATTTTTTCCCTACCAAAACCTGCCAATTTCTTTTTTGAGTTTTCAATTTTTTTTTTCAATGTCAAGTTTATTAAAAATTTAGGTAACATAACATTTAGTAAAACTAAAACACAGCTAGTACAATAAAAAGAAATTAGCTGCGTAAAACAATTCACTTAACAAATGTATGTCTCTTACATATACATATTATTATTATTATTATTATTATTACATCGGGAGTACTCGCGCTGCGACCTAAATATATCTATTGTGCTAAACGCTAATTGAAATCACTCCAACCTTAGGATATTTAAGAAGCTAAGCACATTGGAGGGTGCCATGTTGCAAATTTTGGATGGAGAATACAATCGCTATCCAAGGTGTATCAGTCTGCTAATCATGATTCGTGGGCACTCGCAAAAGGCTCGCGACCACGCCAGTGCGTTTGGGCTCCACGCTTTGCGATATAGTCAGCCCTTTTACTGCCTTCAAGCCCTTCATGTCCCGGAACCCACCACAACGTTACGCCAGGTGGTTCTAAAGAGTATTACCGCCGTACGCAAGCCTTGATGCCGTTTTAAAATAGTCTAAGACCTTTAAAGCTCCCTGACTTTCAGACATAAAATTTATTCTGACCCCATTTGTCCTTCTACGAAGGCATTCGCGAACACAGACTTCGATTGGGAAGACTTCCGCCTGGAATATGGTTGGGTACGTGCCCATTGGCAGACTTTTCTGGAATCTTGGTCCAAGTACACCTGTCCCAGTACTCCCGTTGTCCATCTTCGATTTGTCGGTACATCATACTTAGAACCCTTCGGCAATCATAGTTATTATCGCTTGACACCAAGGGCATTCGTTGGACAGAAGCGCGTAAATGCTGTGATGGCCACGCGGACCAGTCGGTTCTACTTGCTCAAGGTGGCACTCGCATTTACTTTCTTATAGCGCTCTTACACGATATGTATTTGCATAAGTAAATGCTACTTTTATGGTACGTTGTAATATATGGTAACATTTACATATGCAAATACATATCGTGTAAGAGCGCTGTTAGCTTTTGGCCACAAGACCAGTGCCGCATATATAGCATGGGTATTTAAATTCCAATACGTAATATTGGGATATGTTCCCCAAGTCTTGCCATGAGGTATTTGAAAGGCATAAAATGCCCTTGTAGCCTTGTTGGTAACATTCGAGATTTGAGAGTTCCATTTGAGCCTTTTGTCCAGAGTTACCCCTAGATACTTCGCCTCTTCTGAGAACTCAATTTCTGTCCTACCAACGTGGGTCTAGTCAAGTTGACTTTCCTTCTTTTAATAAATGGGACAATGGGGGACTTCAGTGGGTTTATTGGCAAGCCTTTTCAGCGCACCAGTCTTCAGTACATATGTATACATAAGCAGTTTATCACAACTTTGTAGTTCAATCTAAATTACATAGATAACTTATAGGCGCATATGTAAATTTTACATGGATGTTCACATTGTATATTGACAATAATAAGGGTATGCGTTTGTACTTACATGTTTGCGGTCGCCGTTAAACGAACGCAACGGTGAAATATTCGTGTTAACAAGGTTGCTAAACTGTTTGGAGATACATTTTTTCTATTTTTCGCAAATGACTCTTATTGTTGCGGAAGGAAAAGCCCATGTGTGGCAACACTGTATGCATATTTGTATTCATGTATGTATGACATTGTATGTACATTAGGGTGGTCCTTAAATGTATTAAGTACATTATTATATCAGATTTCCTAAACGCCAACCCCCACATCGATGCTAATATAGTCAAAGATATCACACAAAAATTTTGGTCCCGATCGGAGACGGTTTAGGCGTGTCGCACAGGGGCCAAAGATCAGATTCCTCTATGGAGACTCAAAAAATTAAAATTAATATTTTTTTCATCTAATACCCAAAATCGATACTACTAACGTCGAAGATGTCACATATAAATTTTGGTCCCGATTTGAGTAGGGTAAGGCGTATCGCACAGGGGTGAAAGTTCAGATTCCTCTATGGAGACTCAAAAAATATAAGTTAATATTTTTTTTATCTAATACCCAAAATCGATACTACTAACGCCGAAGATAACCGACAAAAACCGTTTAGCTTCCCATTTAACAGACAATTTGTTACACGGTAATATTTACTACAGTTGTATCAATTCAGTGGTCCCGAAATTTAACTAAACACTGCTTTACATAATATTGTATTTTATTTGTTTTATTTTTATTCCATTTTAAATTTTTGAGTATCCATAGAAGAATCTAAACTTTGACCCTGTGCGACACACCTTAACCGACTCCAATCGGGACCAAAATTTATACGTGATATCGCGCCTACAGCAGTATCGATTTTGGGTATTAGATGAAAAAAAAATTAATTTAAACTTTTTTGAGTCTCCATAGGGGAATCTGAACTTTGACCCCTGTGCAACACGCCTTAACCGACTCCAATCGGGACCAACATTTATACGTGATATCTGCGTCTACAGTAGTATCGATTTTGGGTATTAGATGAAAAAAAAATTTATTTACATTTTTTGAGTCTCCATAGAGGAATCTGAACTTTGACCCCTGTGCGACACGCCTTAACCGTCTCCAATCGTGACTAAAATTTATATGTGATATCTTTGACCGTTGTATTAGCGACTGAGGGGGTGAGACTTAAAATTTCATTTTTAAGGGCCACCCTAATGTACATACGTAGTTAAAAAAGGTGGACATCGTCCTTCAAGACAACTCACTACAGGTGAGCGAACATCTCCCATCGCAATGTCAATCGAGCGAGGGCAATCGTCAACATCAACTTATGATGGCTATGCTTGAAGAGAAACGGGCTGCAGAGGAGCGCTTCATAGAGCAAAAGTATCAGCTCCTTGCTCAAATGAACACTGCCGGCACATCCGTGCCAATTACCCAGTTTACAGCTAGCTCTGCACCTTCACCTTCGCAAATAGCAGCCAGGCAAGCCATACCGAAAGAGTTGCCAATCTTTAGCGGCGACCCGGAAGAATGGCCGATGTTCATCAGTACGTTTGAGCACAGTACATCCATAGCAGGGTTTTCGAATGTGGAAAACATGTTGCGTTTACAGCGGTGTCTTAAAGGTAAGGCACGTGAATTGGTCAAGGAAAAGTTGCTCCTTCCAACGATGGTTCCCGATGTTCTCAACACGCTTAAGATGTTTTTTGGCAGGCCTGAGCACATTCTGGAAAGAATGATTACGAAGGCGAGAAAGATAGCTCCTCCGAAAGAAAAGCTTGAGTCGCTCATAGAATTCGCACTAGCTGTTCGTAACATCTGTGCAACGATGCAAACCTGTAAGCTCGAGCAACACTTGAACAATCCAATGCTGGTGAAGGAGCTGGTTGATAAGTTACCTAATCAGCACAAGCTCGCTTGGCCGATGTACCCACGCGATAGTTCACCATCTATCCAGCAATTCAGCGACTGGGAATATCGTATAGCCGAAGCAGCATCGACCGTAGTATCACCTGCTGTCATCTACAAAACAAGCTCCGTGAACACCCACAGCAGCAGCAATAGTGTACAGGCAAGAAACGACATACAACGTGGCCAGAACTGCTCGCATGCAGAGAACCGCTCTCTGCTCCAGTCAAAGCAGTATACAGTGAAATGCGTCGCGTGTGGTACGACTGATCACTACGTCGCACTGTGTCCAACCTTCAGGGACTTGTCAGCAAACGAGAGGTGGCAGATGATAAAAAAGGAGAAAGCTTGTTATCGTTGTCTGAAGACTCACCGCAAGGGAT